AACCCCTGTACTGTTGAAAGGCCATATAAGCAATCTGGTGTTTACAGTCAGTCAAGAAGTTGAAAAAAGTGATTCACATAAAATCATGCAGAGGAGGGGAAAGTGCAGGCACCTGTCAGAAGCTGTAATTTTTATTTAGTACGATCATGAGATAAGTAGAACATATCATAGAAGTGTGAGTGTTTCTAGCTGGAGGGAAAGCTTCCCAAAAGTCGCAGGGGACTGCCATCAATCAACTTGTAAAATTTAAAGAATAATTTGCAAATTCTCAAATCCTAATTGCTTCTGCTAGGTACTGGTATGTACAAGTATTTTATTTTGTTATTTGGAGTCTAAATTTTTCTTAAAACTACATGCCAAAGTTTCATAAGAAATTTTTACTTCAGTTGGCATTGGATTAGATAACAGAATAGAATGGAATATTTTCAGTTGGAAGGGACCTACAACGACCATCTAGTCCAACTGCCTGACCAATTCAGGGCTGACCAAAAGTTAAAGCATGTTATTAATGGCATTGTTCAAATCCCTCTTAAGCATTAACAGGCCTGGGACGTCGATCACCTCTCTAGGAAGCCATGCTTCTGAATTTTCTAAAAGAGGATGTTTGCTATCCATGGCACAAAGCCAGTTACATTTAACTACTAAAAACATTTTGCTTTTACTGAAATAGAATTTGCTGTCAATATTGCTTACTCCTATTAAGACTGTTTACCTACTAGAGGTTGACACAAGTGAAATGAATTCAGAGTAACATTTATTTTAGTATTATTCATTAAATAGGGAGGTAATGAAAAGCTGTTGTAAAAGCATTAATTTAGGTATTTACAGAATGAAGCATGTAATAGCTCACCGTTTAACAAGTCAACATTTTAGAACTGAGAAAAGGCTATCAATGTGTAGTTTTCAGTCATCTACTGTCATGTGGAGAAATCAGCGTAGTCATAAGGTTTGTTACAATAAACATGTGGCCAAGAGTATAAATTGAAATGGAATTACATACATCCAGAAAGCTAACAGTTACATGACTGCTAATATCTATCAGATACAATGGAACTCCTTTCAACATCTCTCCCAGTGTAGCATTTTATTTTTGTTAAAATAATGTATTTTCTGATAATTCAAAGAACTGTAGAAGCATTTTGAAAATGGTATAGTATTAAAGTACATAGCACAACTCTTCTTCCTCTCCAAGGCAATAAAACATGCTTTGGTTTGGACATCTGATTTAGGACTCTTGATTCTGTTGTAAGCAGTATTTTTTATAATTAAAATAAATGCATTCCATGAAGTTCCACACTTCCATACTCATAATTCTGCTATGACATTCCTCGGCAAGTTCACATTGTCAGTCGCAGGAGAGCAGGATGGGAAACATGCCATGAAAATGATATGAAGATTAAAGTTTTAAGAAAAGTATCCTTGTAATACTGGAAACGTTAGACTGTAAAAGCAGGATACATTATGTGATTCAAGTGCACAACTGGTAATGTATGATAATACTTTGAAAGCAATTTTTAGTAGTATTCTTGAAAATGTTATGAAGTAACAATGCATGTTGTCTAACAGTCAATGAAAAAATTTAGGTGACTGCCCTGCTAGTAGGGCAAAGGAGCTGAGTACACATGCCCATTGTTTACACTAATCTCATGACTGCCAAAGAGCAAAAGCTTTTGAATGATGTAACATCAGCTTTAAAATCACTCAAGTCCATTTCAGGACTCTAAAGCCAGCTTATTAAAAAAAAAAAAAAAAAAAAAGGCTGTAGCCAAGGCTAGTTCAGGTCAGGTAGAATACACTAATCTTGGTCAGCAGCTATAGCAATTCAGCTTCTACACAGGTGAAAACTCATGCCTCCTATTGCCCAAATCTATAGTACATTTGTGTAGAAGAGGGGCAGAAAGACCTAGAGCATGAAGCTCTTTCAGGGCCAGCTGGCTTGAATCAAAATAAATCTTCATAGTCTGAAGAACAGTCAGGCTGCGATAAGCAGATCTTGGAAGAGAAGCTTTAACAGGAAGCTTAAGCTGTCTCACAGTTGTACATCTGCACAAAGATGATACAGAAATTTGCATCACCCTCCCGTTGTCTGCTTGTAACTGCCCTCTCCATGTCAGCTTCCACACAAGTCCGCTCTTCAGCTATTCCCAACAGTTGCCTCATCTCCTAGTACCAGTGACTGCCTGCTGCCAAGTCTTTGCTTCCTTTATGTCCCAAGTCCTCCTCCCAGAAAAACATAGGGTAAAACTAACTCCACCTCTATGGCTCAGGTGGGAACTGCTCCACATGCTCTACAAGGAGGTTCATGTGCCATCTAGTCTTGCAGGGAGTCTTGTGCAAGGCTGAGAGTACGGCACATGTTGTTTGGTCCATAACAAAAGATCCAAGAGGCTCAGGGATACACAGGGTGGATAGGATCTGCAGACATTCTGGCTGTTAAGCTCTATGAAGCCCTCATGAGGCATACAGAAAATTTGTTTTTAGAAGTTTTATAATCCAGACAAATTTGGATGGATTTTAACAGTAATGGGGAAAAACAAATAATTGAAAAATCTCTCTGCTAAAAGAGCTACCCTGCCAGGACAGTCAGATGACAAAGCTTTACTGTATACCACTTGAATTCTTTAATGCTTTGGGGGGGATAAAAAAAAATTCTCTGCCACCTGGCTGTATTCTTAGAAATTACTTAAAGGTCTGGACTGAAATTCAGAACAAATTTGGCCTGAAACAGACACTTATGTGAAAGGCCTCAGAAAAGTTATGCATCCCAAAGAGCAGTCCTTTGAGTGAGACAGGGTTTTAAATAAGCTTAATTTTAGATGTTTCAGTGAAGTGCTGAGCTTGGAGTTTAGCAAGTAAGGTAATGAAATTCAATTCTAACTGCATCTAGCTGAAACAGACTGGAGAACAACATAAACAAGGGACATCTTCAGAACAAAACAGATAACACAGTGATTTGATAAAAGTACAACACAAATTTAAATAGGAATAATTAAAAAAAAGAAATGCAGAAGCCTGAATGATGGAATAACCAGCGTATGAGAAAAATTATGAACACCTGAGACAAGACTTTTCCTCAGCAGACAGAAGAGCCAGTAAAATAGTGTTCGGGATAGAAAGAGAGGAGCGAGCTGGAAACAGAAATAGAGATTTTTGGTTTAAAAAGAGGTAAAGATGGCAGCTCACAACCAACCCTGAAAGTGCAGAGAGATTTATAGGCCACTATAAATCTTAACATAAATGGTAAGGATCTAATTTTCTTTGGTGCAGGTATGCTTTACATGTATAGAAATTATATTTTTAATACTAAAAATCTGAAATCAGTTTTTAAGAGTAACAGTGAAAGTATATTCTAATATTATATTATTCTATGTGAAATAAATCTAGTTAAAATATGGAAACTACTAAAAATGACATCTGACTGAAGTTCTATGATCTATGGTGGGAGAAATGCTTCTGTATAAAACGCTCCTAAAATGTTCAGTACTTACTGTAAAAAGACATCACACAAACTAAGAGTTCAACTACATACTCTTAACTCAGAAAACATTTCAAACAAGGGGCTAAAGTTCTTTGAATTAGGTCAACTGCCCTCACATCTGTGTTAATGGGAATTTCACATCTACTTCCTTCAAGAACACAGAGCTAATGAATACATTGATGAATGTTGTTTGAGTTAGAATGGTGAACACAGGCTGCTGTAAATACTGAAATGGAAAACTGTATTTGTTTTCTCAAAATGAAATTGAGAAATACAACCCAGGTCTTCCCATCTGTGCAGCCCCAGGCTGGGGTGGTCAGTTGTCACAAACATCCCCAGGCTGGGGTTGGCAGTTGTCATAAACATCTTTCTTGAGAAATTAATAAAGATGTGCGAATTAAGCAAACTCCTCAATCAGGCATCGTGCTTTGGGAACTTCCTCATCTCGGTAAGGGAGTGTGGAAGATGACCAAAATGCTGCAGAGGAAGGGTGTTGGGTGATTCAAGTGCACAACTGGTAATGTATGATAATACTTTGAAAGCAATTTTTAGTAGTATTCTTGAAAATGTTATGAAGTAACAATGCATGTTGTCTAACAGTCAATGAAAAAATTTAGGTGACTGCCCTGCTAGTAGGGCAAAGGAGCTGAGTACACATGCCCATTGTTTACACTAATCTCATGACTGCCAAAGAGCAAAAGCTTTTGAATGATGTAACATCAGCTTTAAAATCACTCAAGTCCATTTCAGGACTCTAAAGCCAGCTTATTAAAAAAAAAAAAAAAAAAAAAGGCTGTA